AAATAAGCAACTTAGATTAAGCATAAACATACCACATCAAACTAACCTCAAAACTCACAAAACCAACATAAAACTCACACACCCTTATTACAATCTTATCTCTTCAAGAACCACAAATTTACATCCATAAATCCAAGCTTAAAGTTGGCTAGAAATTAATGGAGGGGAGTTTAAGAACTTTCCCTTGAAGAATTCTCTCTTTCTCTTGAAAAACCCTTGAACTCCTCTAGGATTGTTAATGGCTTGAAACTATAAGAGTATAAGGAAATTTGAGAAGAATATTTCTCTATTTCAAACTTTCCCAAAACATGAAAAAGAGAGGATTTAGAGTTTCTTTACCCTTAGAGGAATGCTTGACTAGTCTCCTCCTAGAATCCCTTAATCTCCTTCTTCTTCTTCTATGGTGTGCTAGTGGCTCAAGATTTGGAGAGTGGGAGAAAATATTTGAGAGGAAATGGAGAGTGTGTGGCCGGATTTTTTAGTGGGAAAAAGCTAGGAGAAAAAAAATGAAGCTTATCCTATGTTGGTTCCTTTTATAGGCAACTTGGAAACTATTTTTTTTAACACCAATTCCACTCCATCATTCAACCAAATTTTTGGTTCAAATCCCCCTTTCTTGGCCGGTTTTGGAAGGAGAAAAGGAGAAGCAAATTTGCCATTAATTCCCTTTCAACCACTACAATCACATCACCTTAACATGTCATCCACTTGCACACTCAACTAGCTAATTTTGGCTCTATTTTTTTTTTGCATGGCCGGTGGTGTGCTTCAAGAAGGAAGTGTGGTAAGCATTTATGTCCAATAGTTGATTTGACACAATCCCATCACACCTTATCATGTAATCCCCTAGCACACTCAACTAGCCAATTTTGGCTCTAATTTTTCTATGCATGGTCGGCCAAAGTGGAGAAGGAGAGAGAGAAAAATAAATCCTACCCCTTGTACTTTAGTCCACTCTCTTAAGTTACCTTTGAATCAGGTAAAAATCATACTGACTGTAAAGGGTACTTAGCTGACAGGAAATTCTTGTTTCTGACAGTTCTCTTTTTTTTTCTACTACTTATTTTCAGTTCAACTTTTAAATCCTCGTCTGCTTTGATATCACGTTAAATTCTTACTCGCGTAATATCTTAAACTGTTTCAAGTCTTGAAATTAATTCTAGACTGAATAAATTCTAAATTTAACTTTTCTGCATTATATCCCGGGAGTGACATTATTTCTGACGGTGTCAACTCCTTAGCTCACATTGTACCCTTCTACTATCGGTATCTATCTTGTGACTTTAACCTAGCTGTCTGGCAATTAAGGATTTTCTCTTCTTTAAAAATGTCAGTGCGTTTTTTTTTTACGCTGCTAACATCATGCTGTGTTTGGAGATTCTTGAAATTAAGATTCTCAAACTATACTTGTACTGAAAATTATTCCGCCTTAAAGTACGGCAAGAATTTATCGATCGAATTTACTTGATCGAAAACATGAACTTAACATGAAATCTGCTACAGAATTTAGGAATACATATATTGATTCCATAAATCCTTCAGTCACATAATATTTTCTAGGAAAATCCTTGGCTTAAATAAATAAATTGTATTATTTAAAGTCTGGAATTTTCTCAGTCATTACATTTCCTATGCTATTAAATTGCTAAAGAATAATGCTAGGCATTGGTGAGCATCTATTAAGTTGACTCCAGCTGCTACCAACCTTACTTGGAATGGTTTCAAAGAACTGTTTTACAACAAGTACTTCACTGAGGAAGTAAAGAAAAGTAAAGTGGCTGAGTTTGTGGGATTAGCACAGGGTACTATGACTATTGATGACTATGTCACTAAATTTGAAAGACTTTCAAGATTTGTTCCATGGATAGTAGGTAATGACGTGAAAAAGATGAACTTCTTCATTAAGGGTTTGAAAGCAGCTATCCACAAGAATGTGAGCATGTCGAGGCCTTAGTCGTTCAGCGAAGCAGTTGAACTGGCTATGATATCTGAGAAGGGTATTAAGAGACAAGAATTGGAGAATAAAGCTACTTATGCCGCTAAGAATGGCCCGTGAAAACCAGGAACAACTACAAGAAAAGGGAAACAAAAGCAAGAGTGGCAACAAAATGCTAACAAGCGGCCTAAGACAGATAATTCAACTGCTAAGGAGTATCCAAAATGTCCTAAATGTGGGAAAATGCATGGAAGAGAATGTCGATATGGTACCTTTAATTGCTACACATGTGGAAAACCTGGTCACATTGCTGCAAATTTTGGAGCTAAGCCCGATGGTCAGAAGAAGACTCAAGGAAGGGTGTTTGTAATGACGGCAAAAGATGCTGAAGAAGATCCTACTGTTGTGGCAGGTACACTCTTCATTTCTGGAATGATAGCTCATGTATTGATAGATTCAGGTTCTACCCATTCATTTGCATCTCTTGCATTTGCTAATAAATTGGGTAAAGTACTAGAGATATTGAAAAGTGGGTTTAGTGTAGTTTTACCTTATGGAGAGGTGTTAAAGTCTAATAAGGTGTTGAGATCTTGTTTGGTTATGATAAATGGGAGAGAGATGTATGTGAATTTAATCGTTTTGGATATGAAAGATTTTGATGTGATTCTTGGTATGGATTGGTTATCTAAGCATAGAGCCACCATAGATTGTCATCAAAAGGCGGTTATTTTTAAACCTAAAGAGGGACATAAATTCATTTTTAGTGGAAGGTCAAAGAATGTCTCTTTTCCAATTATTTCTGCAATGAAGGCAAGAAAAATAATTTGTAAAGGCTGTATTGGTTTCTTGGCCTCGGTAGTTGATACTTCAGTTCGGGATGAGCTTAAACCTGAAGATGTGCCAGTAGTTAGGGAGTATTTGAAAGTTTTTCCTGAAGATCTTCCTAGTCTTCCTCCGGATCGAGAGATAGAATTTGTCATTGATGTTGTTTCAGGAACATCTCCTATTTCTAAAGCACCTTATCGTATGGCACCATCAGAATTGAAAGAGTTAAAGATTCAACCTCAAGAATTATTGGACAAAGGTTTTATTCGTCCAAGTTTTTCTCCATGGGGTGCACCAGTTCTTTTTGTGAAAAAGAAGGATGGTTCGATGCGACTTTGTATTGATTATCGAGAATTAAACAAAGTCACACTAAGAAATACCAGATCCTCTTGAACTTCAAGGAAAGTGATATCCACATCCTCGAATAGAATTAAAGGTTTAACTTCACTCTGACTGCAGCAACTTCCAGACTCCTCACGATAAGAAATACCAGATCCTCCTGTTGCATTCCGACAATCTTCATCTGATAAGGGGATCAGTTCAACCACCTCATCATCTAGTTCCTGGGTTGCAGTGCCATTGGCCAGATTTCAGGGTTTCAAAATAAGCTTACTCAGTGAACCCACAGGGTTTCCCAGTGACCTAGATGCACATGAAAAGACTCATTATTCAGGGACAAATGTGGTCTCATTTCTGCTGTGATTTTACTAAATAATGACCAATACTGACCCTGGGCATGACACTTGCAAGCAAAAAATCCCTCACCATGATGCAAATTCTTACTGAAAATTTTATTTGCACAGAAAGCATTCGTGCAATTGCAATGTTGCATAAATTACTAAAAAAAAAAAAGAAAAGGAAAAGTAGAAGCATGCACAGGAACAAACCTAATGCCGTGAATGTCGATTTTCAGAGAAATGACATTGCCATTTGAGATTACGCTCTATACTGAGATGAAGATTGAGCTCTATATTATTAACAGAGAAAAGATAATGCCATTTGAGATTCTTTCAGGTTGGCTAGGTGCAATTTGAATGCCTCTACGAGGCATCAATCACCAAGATGCACCAAAACCAAGAAACATTGAGCTTTGAAAAAAAAAAAAAATACTTTCAGCTAGAGACATTACTGAGCCAATTAAATTGCCTAATTATTTAAACCATAGGAAAAAACAACTCTTTAGGTTTCAAAGCAAAGTTACAAAAAAGAGAAATGCTTTGATCTTCCCTTGCATTACCAGTACTAAAGAATCCTTCAATGAAAAAGGTAAGTAATTTTGCATTTCTTTCCGCTGTAAATTCTCTGATGGGGATTAATTTGCAATAATTTCAACATTTAAGTTTTCCACATTTTTACATGCTTTCTATATTGTTTTATATCCCTCTTCATGTTATAGAGAAGCTTCCTTGAAAAAGAAACTCTGAATGTGGAGAAACTGCGTTTATAGCAAATGAAGTAAAAAAGTGAACTTTAGAAAGCCCCGAGTACGACAGCTATTTCTAAAGGAATATATATGAGAAGAACCTTTTAAGTTGACGTGATTCTAAAGCCTCACCAAACCTCTGCTTAACAAGAGCTCCATTTGGACATTCTGATGTGCTGACCTGAAATGAAAAGACAGTCAATCTATAAATCAATATGCCGGAAAAAAAATATATATCAAGATGCAGAAAATAAGCAATGTATCAGACTATCAGCATCCCGTGATAAAAACCAAAGAAACAATGTCCGATGACTCGGTAGCCACTAGATAAATGTGAAATGATGATGTATTATTGTACTATCAACTGGTTCATCATGGCAAAAAAGTGGATACATTTAGTGAGCTTATCACTGCTTGTATAAAACTTGTCAATAATTTTGATGACGTACGCTAGTCACTATTGCATAAAATCAGATAAAATCTGAGACGCATAAATATATATATATATATATATATGCGCAATGGATAAATATGTACATATGCACACACACCCCATATGACAGTTGTTTAATATTCTATCCATTTAGATGTATGCATTCAATTTTCCAGTCAAACAGATACGTTTAAATATCCATCTGTTTTATGTAACAGGCTAAAGAAAATAACACAACATAAATCATTTTGGAATCATACGGGGAAAAATTGAATTTGAAGATCACTAGCATGATTTATTAAACAGACATAATTTAACATTAATGGGACGTTTGGTTCTGGATTTAGAACCATGATTTATGATTCTGATTTTTGAAATTCAAATTTTTTGTGAGAGAAAAATACTGTAGAGAACCAAGAACCATATTTTAGAACCAGGGACGAACCCTTGAAACAAACATCCCATAAGTTTACTAAATTTGGGAGAGTATTGAAAACTTCTCATATTCAAAAAAAGCAACGTTACAGTTTCAACTCAACCTTCGCTTCAATCATTTTTATTAAACTGTATTTGAATCATAGATCAATTTGGCGAAGGCTAACTTGTAAATAGGCAAATTCCCCTTTCTGTCAATATGTGGTGCTTCTTGCTTCTGCTATGGCTAGTTGGCATTGCTTAAAAAGAATACTAGCGATCAAATTACATCACAATCAACATCCATAGAAATAGGGATTTTATTTAATCTATTTAACAACCATCTTCATTGACATATAGATAGTTATATACATGTTGGGATTTGAAGAGGAAAGAAAAAAACAACAGCAATCATCACCAATGAACAACGATCTCTCTTAAGTAGAAAAAAATTATCACAATTTAATACCTCCAAAACCTCAAATCCTTGCTCTCGTGCACAAGCATAAATAGCAGCAGACTTTCCACTCTGCAACACTTGAGTCATAGATCTTAATCTGAAAAATGTATCACTTTTATGGATAAATATAGAAATTGAAAACCAATTGTAAAACTGTGGATGCACTGAATAAGTGTTGGACAAGGAAACCAAGCCATATGATATCTATATTTGGAAATTGACACTACTTAAATCATATATCACCATAAACTTAGAATCGTATATTGTTACTCTCAGCATCCAGATCGGTAAAGAAAAAAAAGACCCTTTTAATTCTTGAACATGCGAGCACCAGAACAAAAAGTTGTACATGCAGAAAGCTATTTTTATCAATGATGTTATTATCATTATTATTCTTTTCAACATAAGTACAATTATGCTTAAATTTTTATAACACCAATCATACCAAAATTGAGATAGGAAGCAATTCCAGCATAGGGCTACAAAGAGACGGCTCTAATTGTAAAGCTCTAGGACGTGCATCCTTGTCAGTACCCAAATAAGACTAACAGAACCAGACATAAATAACATTTGTATATAGTTGATTCTCTGCTATCAGCATGTCCAATTAATGCACTCTTAAGGTACTAGATAAGTAAGAACCTAAAACAAGCATATATAGAGGATAAACAGAATAGCTCCCCTGAAAGACCAAAGACCGTGACTCACTATAATCATAGACAGAAAGTGTACTTCATGTGTGTTTTGTACTTACCCCAACCGGCCCAGTAACTAAGAGTACATTTTTCAGGCCACCCCCTTCCCGTTCTTTTTCTATATCAGAGTCACTTTCAGAACAAATATAATCGTCATCTCCCCTATCACCTGTATCACAATTAATAGTTTCCTTGCTGATACGAAAATTTCTTTCACGCCAATGCTGGAGCCACTGACTCAAAAAATTCACAGATTCATCGTTGCCACATACCTACTCGGCCTTGTAAAAAAAAAAAAAAAGGTGAAACAAAAGTTTTTCATCCATCCAGATTGGAGAAACTTCAAAATTGCGTAACTTCTACAATGAAGAAACAGATCGACATATCTAACCTCCAGGGCATTTTTTGGCTGGTACTTATAGGTCCATAAGCTATCCCTTGGTTGATTACCACAATCAAAATAGTACGACTTCATTCTGCAATTAATGCAGCAATAAAGTAAGATCATATACTAAATTACTAATTGCAACCTAAGAAATATGCACAATACTTCACATCGTGTATGATAATCATCTCAAATAATAAGGGTGCAGTGTCAGATGACAGTAGTTATCGGAAAAAGGTCAGCTAAAAAGACATAAATGTGCACAATCATGAAAATTGTGACCCGTATATTAGATAGATTAACAGAAACGATGATTGTAAAAAAAACAAAAACAAAAAAAAAACACACACACACACACACAATTAAGAGAAGAATATTAGTATAAGAAAAACAAAAGTTTCAGAGCTAAAAAACAAAAACAAAACAAAACCGAAAAAAAAAAGGTAAAAAGAAAATGGATTGGAAAAAAAAAGCAGCATCTGAGACAATTTAATTAAACCTTTACCTTTCCTCGAGAAATCTACTTTGTTGCCCAATGTCTGGCTTCATTACTACACCAGTATGCCCACTGAAGGAATCAACTTTAGTTACCTCACTGTCCTGGGAGTAATTTATTTGAATTAACTGAATCACAGCATGACAACAAACGAAACAGTTAGTAGAGCAAAATGAGCATATTGCTGTTAGAACATATTATATGGAAGGAAAAAAAAATCAGAAGTAGGATAGAACAATGCAGTACTTACTTCTGCATCCTTTAAGGGCTGATAGCAAATCACTTTCTCGTCATTTGATAAGTCAAAGGCTGTTGGTGCTGTTTCATAAAAACATTCTTCTTGAATAGGACACTGATCAAAAGAAACCGTGTCCTGAAGAACTGATGTGTTGCTGGGATTTGAATTAATTGAAAGCATATTAAAACTTAAGCACTCAACAGATCCTTAAAAAATGGATGAGCATGCGTTTTCTAATACAGAATTGCTATTCATGAAGATTCCCTCATGAAACGTCCAGGTTCTCCAATCAAGTGCCTCTGCATTGCCCTGCATTGCAGAATTTTAGGTTCCACCACAATGTAGAAAAATTAACTGCAAATCTAAACCTTCAAAATCGGCTGATAATATCTTCTCCAACATCTCTTCTGAACTAGTGTTGCTAGCCATTCTCTCTAAGACTTGTGTAATTGCTCCAATGCTGTCATATGCTTGTAAAGCATAAATTCCGGGGTTTGAATCACCTTCTTGCGGGTTCTCTTCTCCAAAGAGTTGCTCAAATCGGGAATAGAAAGCTTTATAAGAACTACTAGTCTTGGAATAGTAGCTCTTGATTCCAAGAGTTCCTTTCATAGAGGAAATGACAGAGTTGTCAACTGAGCCCAGCAAACTTGTAATGCTCTCTGTGATTATCCAAGCCGAATCACTATCTAAAAGTCCTTGTTTCTTAGCCTCTCTAAACAAATGACTTACCATAGGCAATGAAGACCGAAGAACGATAAAAGCCCGAGATTGTACTTGCAAAAGTTTCACAATCTCATCTAGGACCATCGTTTTTGGGTCGGAGAGAGATGAATAGGGTGGAAGGACTAAACGGGATTCAATCTCGGAACCAATGCTCTGAAGAGCCTCATTTAAAAGGTTTATGATTCCCATATCACCACCGTATTCATCATCCTCAATTATGACTACAACCTTTCGCCAGTTATAGGCACAAACAAGATCTGCAATGCACTTGATTTCGTAAGAGAGATCGTTCGCCATTGTTATCAAGAAAGGCCATCTAAGTTGCATTAATGGGGGTGTTATGCTAGGTGCTGCCAATGAAATAACCGGAACTTGAGTTCGGTTTCCTACTTTTCCTACTAAAGCAGCTTCTTGCCATGTCTTCATCCCAACAATCATTTCTATTTTCTTTTCTTCAATCATCTGTTTGGCTGGAATGGAAATCGACCATGTGTTGTTAGTATGAAACAATTATTTCACTTGAATACACAGAAAGAGTTTTAAGAGATAACCAACCAGAAGAAGCAGAATCTTGAAAATATAGAGAGAGCTTGTGATTCTTTGATTTGTTGTTGAAGTTTTGAGCTGCAATTTCCATGGCAACTTTCTGTTCTTTCCCAATACGAGATGTAATATCAACGATTGCTCCGATATTCGTAACCTTCTCGTTATTATAAGCCGGTTGAGCTCCATAAGATGTTTTAAGAAGAAAGAAAATTAGTATGCGAAAGAAGAATCCACGTGTTGGAAGTGAAGGGAAAGAAAGAGAAGAGAAAAGCATTGGAGCTTAAGTATTCCAAGTGCAAAAATTTATTACAAGATTTTACAATAATTCATGAAAATGATCGTACTAGTTCTGTATGTGATGTTGAGTTCTTCTACACGTAATTACGTGTGATGAAGGGGAAAACGCGCATTGATTTGGTCTGAAGTTATGGGACCACCAGTCAAGCACACAATTAGAAAGGTAGAATATTGACTGAGTCATAATCTAGAAAAAATAAAATAAAATCAAGAGGACTATTTAATTACCAAAAGTCAGCATATAGAAAAACGAAATCAATATGAACACACTTATTGGATTGCCATGCATTATAATTGGAATTTTGAATAGTATAGGAAACTTGATGTCTGTTTTATGTAACTCTGTTACATTGTACACGTGCACTCTAATCTTCATGCGTTCATTCTGATTTATTAAATAAATAATCAGGAGGATTTGTTTTTGTTAGTATAATAAGCCTTTTTTATTAGGAACAAAAAAAAAAAAGAAAAAGAATACTTGCTGAATATTTATTCAATAAAACAAGACTTAGTAGTTCCTGGCCAATAGAAAACCACCATATCTCAAGTTTCAACCTCACAAGGTATTGCTCAAGCTATCTTGGAATCTTTCCTTTGATGACCCTTTCTACTTCTAATGGCAGATTATCCATGGAAATGAAAAAAAAAAAAAAAACAGCACGAAATCACCAAAGTTTTAACTGCCACAGAATGTGACACTCGGCAGCCACTGAGCCACAGCAGAAAGGCATGCTCTTATGAGATTCCCAAGCTAAGCATGCACTATCAATTATCATATACACTTTTTAGTGAGGCAAACTGAAGACAAGGAGTGGTGAAGTCTCGTAATCCATTAACTCTTCACTTAAGACTTATTTGTTTTATATACTCAAACTCAAATAATTGATATTGATACAGTATTTTTCTATAAAAAAAATTAAATTTTAAACATCATAATTGTGACGACCCTCCTATGAGGTCGCCACCGTAACTTAGTTTTTAACTTGTACTTGCTGGCATTTCTTAAAATTTACGTAACATTTTTTTTTTTTTAAACATAAGAAGGAATACTTTCATAATTCGTAACAATAATTTCAAAAGAATAAATCACTGAATTTCTTAAAGCTTTTCTTAATTTCAATTAAGATAAAACCTTCTATAAATATTTTTCAAATAGAGCTGTGTTTGAACTTTTGTTTCAAATACTCTTTAAAAGCCTTTCTAAAACTAGCCAATTCAAATGGGCCATTTAATTTGACTTTAAAACGGATTTCGTGAGAAATCTTAAATTCAAGTACATCTTAAAGTCCTTTTAAAATTACTCATTTAAATCGTCATGTTTAAAATTCATTTATTTGTTGCATGTACTGTTGCAGCGTTCTAAAACTTAAATACTCAAAACTAGGGTTGTTAGCTACAACCTTGGTTTTCTTAACATACATATGTACGTATACTTTTTAAACATACATACTTGAAACCTTTGAATCATATAGACATATACATGATTTTTCTTAAACTTACTGCGGAAAATAACTGCGTGAGCGGTATCCATTCCCATCTCCACCATTCGTCCGCTGCTCACCATTGCCCTTCAAGAATTACTGATAGGTTTCTTACCTACAGCATGAACATATATGATTGAGCTTTCGCTCAGCAAGTAGGAACTATATCTCGCAAAATAACTGTGAGTACACATGAATAAATATGCATGAGCTGATTATGCTTAATTATGATGTCTTATCATAGTCTTATTATCTTATCTTATCTTTCTTACTGATGGGCCCGAGTGCTCGCGTACCACTTGCGCGCAATCATCGGAACGTGAGGGTTTGCAAGGTCACCCACGACACCGTGATTATAACTTGAATGCCTCCCTTGAGTCGGAGGAAATTATTGTTATTTTCTTTTTCTCCCTTGTGGAGCTGGAGTTACCTCCCTTGTGGAGGCTGGTACGGCACTCAACTGATATTATTCTTATAAGTTCCTCTTGACTTATTAAGGTGTAT